TAATCAAATATAAGTGGAATAACAGGGTTAGAACATGGGAGTCAATCAACGAGAGAATAATTAAAATGCATATAGATATATACGGTAAAGAGACAGTGATACTCGGAGTATATGCACCAACAGACGATTCCCCGAGAGTAGAAAAAGAACATTTCACATTTATCACAACTTCAACATCAAATAGAGCTCATTAAGAAGAACGTGTAGATAATTATAATAGGAGACCTTAATGACAGAACCGGAAGAAAAGAAAACGATAAAGTACTGGGGAGATTTGGAGAGGATGTACAAAATGATAATGGAAAACGTCTGATTGAATTATGCGGACGAAACAACCTAAAAATCACCAATGGATTCTTCAGACATAAAAATATTCATAAATATACATAGACGCAAGAAACACGAAAGCTGAAATCGATAGTAGACTACATAATAATCAAACAAGATACCACAATAAAGATCAAAGATGTGTGAGTCGGAAGAGGAGCAGAATGTGGAACGGACCATAAACTACTGAAGCAAAAAATGGGCATTAATTGGAAACATAACAAGACCCCTCTATAGAAGAACCGTTGAACACTATAAGAGAAAAAAATACAATATAGAAGTACTCCAAGAACAATCAGTAAGAGAACTATACCAACAACGTCTAGACCAAAAATTAATAGAATTTACATACGACAACATCGAAAAAATATACGAGCATATAAAGGCGAGTATAAAAGAAGTAGCATTCGAAGCCCTTGGAGAAAAAGAACATATAACAAATAAACAACAGTATTATGAAATAAATGAACCAACAAAAAGAATAATTAAAGAAAAAAAGCAGCTATACAGAAAAAGGCTGACTACAAACAACGATGAAGTTTATAAAGAAATATAGAGAAAAATATAGAGAAGTGAAAAAACAAATAACACAACAAAAGAATGAAGAATGGGAAAGAACCTGCTTAAATATTGAAACATACATAGGAGGTAGAACTTCTGAGTCATGGAAAGTACTGAGAGGATTGAAACAAAACTTAAAAGAAAAAATTAAATTGGGAAATATACAGGACAAAGGACTATTACAAGGAACTGTTAACAGAACAAAGACCACAATTCATTGGAAAAGAAAACAGGCGAACACGAAGTAGATCCGCACAACAAGAAATAGAAATAACAGATAGAGAAATGAGAACGGCCATAAAAGCATCAAAAATAAGAAAGCACCGGGACCTGGAGGCATCTCATCTGAGCTTATAAAATACGTCTCAAAAAAATTACATCGGATGATACAGTGGATATTTCAGAAAGTCATAAATGGAGAACAGCTGCCAAAGGAATGGACGGAGGCATATATGACATCTATATTTAAGAAAGGATATAGAAAACGATGCCAAAACTACAGAGGAATAAGCGTAATATCATCAATAGGAAGATTATATGGGCAGATACTGCGAGAAAAGATAGAGCAAGCGATAAAAGGCAACATCGGGGAGGATCAGGCAGATTTCACGGCAGGAAGATCATGCATAGACCACATATACACACTGGAACAACTGGTTGGAAAAGAAAAAAGCAAAAAATAGAGATATACGCATATATAAGCTCTGTATAAAGAAAATAAAGTGTCCAATAAAGTGGGAACAAGAATCATAGGAGACTTCACCACAACAAAAGAGTTCCTGTAGGGTTGTTCCACATCTCCACCCTTTTCAAAATATACTTAGAGAAAGCCTTGACTACATGGAAAAGAAAATGCGAAGGCATGTGAGTATCGGTACGGAACGAATACTTATATACGTTAAGCTTTGCAGACGATCAAGTAGTGATTGCACCAAGACGAGCTCAGCTACATGATGAAGAAACTACAAGAAGAATATACCAAGGCTGGCCTAGATATTAACCTCGCAAAAACAGAGTACCTATCTACAAGTGAAGAAAGCATAGAAGATCTACAGATTGATGACAACGTAACAATCAAAGGAAAGGATAAATTCAAATACTTGGGGTTTATAATCACGAAAAAGGCAACAATAGAGGAAGAAATTACGCAAAGATTAGGACAAACAAGAACAGCAATCCAACACCTTAACTCAGTATGGTGGGATAGACACCTAAATCATCATCATCTTTGGCTCGACAATCCTCTGTGGATCTTGGCCTGCTCTAAGATTCGTCGCCATTCTGTTCGGTTTTTGGCAACATGTTGCCATCTTCTGATTTTTAATATTCGTAAGTCACCTTTAGACACCTAAATATGAAGACAAAAACACAGATTTATAAAACATTAGTGCAAAGTATTATGACATATGGGGCTGAAAATTGGAAAAACAGCAGTAAGATAGTAGCAACAGAGACATGTAATGGATGTATATGTATATGGACATGTAAGAAGAACTAGCGACAGCAGATGGATACAGAGAATAACCGAATGGAGCCCCATAGGAAGGAGGAAAGGAGGACGAGCCCGAAGATCCTGGAGGAACGAAGTAGACTACGCCGTGAGTAAGAGAGGCCTAAACGATGGAAAATGGGACAACAGAGGGAGATGGAAACGGTTGAGCGAGGGTAGGTAGTGAATACTGTACAATCCCTGTATATATATATATATATATATATATATATATATATATATATATATATATATATATATATATATATATATATATATATATATGAAACATTCAAATATTTGGGAGTACTAGTCAACAACAGAAATGAAAGTGTAGATTTGAAAAGAAAAATTCAAGCGGGAAATACAGCGTTTTATAGAAATAAAAAAATGTTTAGAGATAAGAAAATAAGCCGAAACACAAAGATGAAAATCTCCAAAACGACTATAAGAGCAATAGTAATATATACTGCTGAAACATTTACAAGAAGTGCAATTGAAAGTTTTTGATAGGAAGATTATCAGAAAACTACTGGGATGAAAGAGGGAAAAAGAAGAGAATACAAGGCAATGGATGAATTCCGAAAATACAAGAATATATGGGTCAAGAGAACATAGTTAGAGCAATAAAAGCATAAAGAATTAGATGGTATGGACACATAATGAGAAGAGAGAAGAGCAAAGAGTTATAACAGAATGGATACTACCAGGTAAAAGAACGAGAACGCAGACCTAAACTGAGATGGAGACAACAAGTGGAAGAAGACTTAACAAGTATGGAAATTAGAAATATAGAAAGGACCATCAAAGAGAGAGAAAAATGGAGAAAAGTAGTGGAGACGGCGAAGTTATAGCAGAAACTGTAAAACCAAACCCAGAATGGGATGATCTCCCTACACAGAAAGGATCGCCCCTTATTTGAAGCTCGTAATAATTCGAAATAAATTTTTGGAAAGTATAAGTGTGATGAAATTTTTTTTTCATAGATTATCTTACCTGAAAGTCCAACTGCAGTAAAAAATTGGGTGCAAATGACTCTTCCTTCTAAAAGAGGTGTCTTTAATTAATAACCACTTCTCATATTTCAGTTTAAATTACAATAAGACAAATAACCACAGACATAAACTCGATAAATTTGATTAGCAGCATAAAATAATAAATATAACATTAAAGTAAAACCATCCTAAAAACAAGTTGTTATGTTAATGATACAAAGAATCGTAATAAACAAGCATTAATAAAAAGTACGATCCTTCAAACAGTTAAAGTGTTATCTCTCTGCAAAAAATAACAACTAATACTTTTTGTTTATGTGACGTACCTATTGTTTAAAATGTTATATTTTTGTCCACTTCTATAAAATAATTTTACACAAATATTTTTGCGTAAGTCCTAAATTAAATTCACGTACTTATCTGTAAATACATCTCTTAAAACTCAACTAACACGCTATTACAAATAGTGGAACAAAAAGCATGCTTACCGAAAGTAGACGAGTTTTTTAATTTTTTGCTAAGACTTTCTGTGATTGGAGTGTCGCAAAAAGTAACCTTCCTCTTTAGATTTACTGAATTATATTCAACTGTATCTCCGTTTTTGTTCGTAGAGCAATCCACTGGAGTAATGATAACTTCCTGAATTTTTTCTAATACGATATTTGCTTGGTCCCTTTGCATTGGAGTGCTAGTAGCTAAATTAGTTAATATATTTACTTTATTACTTGCATGGTTCAACTTGCCTGTAACGTATGGCGAGTAGGCCTTCTCTGAAATGCCAGAATTATGCGGTGTATATGGACTATTTTGACTATTATTAACTAAGGGACATTTAATATGTTGAAATAGCTCTTCTATTGACCCAAATAATCTTTTACACAATAAACAATTAAGTGGCCAATGAGCAGTTTTTATGTGTTCTAAGACCACTTGAGACGTAGACGAAATTCTGGTTTGGCCAAAAATACATATATCACAATCAGGAAACACTTTGTGCACTTCAGTTTCATGATTCTCTCGACAAGTTTTGCAGCAAAATACTTTTTTACACAAACGGCAGTTATTCTAAAACAAGATTAGATTTATTGATATATTTTATATCTGAATATTTACTCACAACTATAAAATCTTTCATTTTCACATGCTTCAACTTTTTATTTGGATCGAACACTGATTATAAAACATTCATAATTGACTATTTATTGCAAAGTAAGAGCTTCAACTAAACTAAGTATTTAAATTTGGTGCCTTTTCCGCAAGACAGTTGTAACAATCGTTTCCCTTAATTCATTTTATTATGATACCAAAACTTTTAATGAAATATATTTTTTATTTTTAATTATTATTTTAATTTACTTCTACAATCCTTCATGTGCTTATAATGTTAATAGTTCTAATAGTATAAAAATATGTGAACAATAAAATAATCTTGTCCTTATTAGGAGTTCGTTTCGCACGTTGGTAACACTAGCGTAAATCAATGCAAAAATAAAAGTTGGCGGAATTAGCCATGTTTGTTTTGTAAACAGGAATTCATCCGGCAAATTTTTACAAAAATTATTTCTGTGTTCAGTGAAGACTGTCCAACTTAGAAGAAGTGCGAAGCACTATTTTTTGTTGAATACAAAATGAGTGGTGCCGTATATGGAGGTGGTAAGTTGTTAAAATTTACATTACATGTTTATATTTTTCATAACCTTATCTTCTAGATGAAGTTGGGGCACTTGTATTCGATATTGGCCATAATACTGTTAGAGCAGGGTATGCCGGTGAAGACAGCCCTAAAGTTGATATTCCTTCGACAATTGGTGTTTGGCTAGATAGTGATGAAGATATTCCTGTGACAAGATACAATATTGGTCTTCTTGCCATTCATGTATGGAGACCAGGTAAGTGAAACTAATAGGCATTTTTCCAATACATACAAAACACAGTCAGCTATGAAGAATCGAGAGAAGAGTAAAGGGATATGGGAACACTTAAAAATATCAGATTGACAGCAGGATTGAATAGAAGTTTGTTGTAAGATTAGTCATTTAAAAACAAAAGCCAAAAATGCCATGTAAATAAAATAAAACCACAATCATCTCACTTCAAAACATTTTAAACACATTTAATGATCATTTTTGTGATCATTACACATATCACAAATAGGGCAAATCTAAATAGAAACAGATCATATATCAGAAAAATGTATCAAAAATTTGAAATAAAGCGCAAATAACATAAATAAATTAATTTAATTAATTAATAAAACAATTGAATAATCATGAACAAATTTTCCAGTATACACAGGATTCTGTGTTTTTCAGGTTCACCTTTTATTATTTATAAAATGTCAAAATTTCTGTTATAAAAAGGTTTCTGGGTTATTCAGGTTTCACTATATACTTTACCCTACCTTTCAATTACCTTTTTTTTCCTACATGAAATATTTTGTTATTTTATAGGAATGGAATTATCCTCTTTTTTAAAAGAAGGCATGGTGGAGAATTGGGATATGTTTGAAAATTTCTTGGATTATATCTATAACCAAGCTCTACGAGCAATTCCTAAGGACCATCCGATACTCCTTACAGAGCCTCCATGGATCACCCCAGTAAAGAGAGAAGAAATGGCAGAATTAATGTTTGAAAAATATGGAGTACCAGCATTATACTTAGCAAAGAATGCTAGTTTAGCTGCTTTTGCTAATGGAAGGCCTACCTGCTTAGTGGTTGATAGTGGGGCCACCCACACATCAGCTGTACCTGTTCATGATGGGTAATTATACATTAATAGATTTATTACTCAAATTAGATATATTGTCTCATGTGTTAATTTTGATATATCTGGTTCACTTTGCTTAGTGTTACAAAAATAAATGAAACACTATTTGAAAACTTGGCTTTAATCAAATTTAGAAGTGTAGATAGGTTAGGGGTAGATATTTACTTAGTTGGATATCCTGTGTATCTGTGAATGGATGGTTTGAAAACCAGTTCTCACATTGTAGGTACATACTTACCCTTCTGGCTAAATATTCAAGCAGTGTATATTAAAATATGATGTCTTACTGTTGTGTACTCAAATATATTTGTTTTTGAAGGATCTAAAAGCTTAATTTTCACAAAAATATAATAGATAAGTACCTTTAATATTACAGATTCTGTAATTTTTAAATGTAATTCACACTATATTTAAAAATTGCTATGTTCTAAGATGTTATTTATATTGAATATGACTTAACCTAAGCTGTAAATGTTTTTGTAGAGCTGTTTGGTTTTCTAATATTAGTTATTATACATGATTATAATAACTAAGATATAGTAGATCAATATCAGATCACTTGTAAGATATAGAATCAATTAGGTATAGCAGATCTCCATTGGAAACTTGAATCAGATAATCCCATCTGCTTCATCATGATATTTGTTTTCATCGACCCATTCTAGAAATTTTTCACTTTGTAATACCTCCAACTATATGATATCGAAAAGTTCTTTATTTTACCCCTTATGTAAAGTTCTGATACATTTATTTATTTATGGGATGTCTCCATTTTTATAAAATTAAATTTGACACAAATAAAGTACATACATACAAATTCTATATGTGGGTACTGAAAGATCTCGAGAGTTTCTTGTGATAAAACCTAGATTTCAGTAAGCTTTATTTGACAAATTGTTGTTGTGGCAACGACAAGGAACTGTCAAATAACACTCCCAAATCTTTTATTTTAGTCACTCTTGATAGAAGGCTTGTATTAATGTGATAGTGAAACAAACATTATTTTTAGATTTGCTAAAGGATATAACAAAACACTTATCTTTATTTAACTGGAGAATATTGGAAAGAGACCAATTATATAGGGAAATAAGGTCTTCCTGGATCCTTAGACAATCAAATAGATTTGAAACTTTAAAATATAACTTAGTCATCAGCAAATAGCAAAAACTGACAAACCTTTATTACCTCAGAAATATTGAGGACCCACATGTGAATAAGAGAAGAGGACCCACATGTGAACCTTGTGGGACCTCTGAACTGACCAAGATAAGAATTGAAAGTGAACCCTTTATAAAAACAAACTGAATTCTTTCATCAAGATAACTAATTAACCATGAAAGAAACCACTCAGGAAAGCCAATACATATTAATTTAAAGATGAGTAAAGAATGGATTTCAGTGTGAAGAGCCTTTAGAGAAATCAGTGTAGATGGAGTCCACTTGGTACCGATCCTCGAAACCCCTATAATGTAATCATGATACAAAACAAGATTTGTAGATGTAGATTTACCCTGCCTAAATCCATGTTTCTCATTAATCAAGAGATTCCTACAATGCCAAGTAAGATATTTGTTTAGAATTAGTTCTAAAAGTTTAGGGATGGCAGATAACAAAACAACAGGCCTATAACTTTTTATAATGTCTCTGTCACCATTTTAAATACAGGAGTTATATAACTATCACGCCACTTATTAGGGAAGGTGTGTACTCTCAAAGATAAATTAAATAATACATGTAAAGGTTTCGATAGACTGTAGACACATCTTTTTAAGAAATATGTAGGAATATTATCAGGACCATAATTTAGTTTATCCTTTAGACCATTTATAGACTCAAAGACTTCAGAAAGTGAAAATTGGATAAATGGAATGTCAACAGAATTTTTTACTTTAAAATTGAAGTGAAGCGATAGACACTAGAGAAATGGCTCGCAAACAAGTTTGCTATATCCTCAGTTGATTCAGCTAACAAGTCATTAAAATGCATGACATTTGGAATTCTGTGGCTTTTATTCAAAGAGTTTATATGGTTCCAAAATTGTTTTGAGTCTGAGTGAATAGACTCCTCAATGTTGGAGATATAAGATCTGTAGCATTGATCTGTTAATGTTTTGGATTGTGTTCTAAGATCTTAAAATAAGGTATAATCAGCTGCTAACTGAGTATGTTTGAATCTAGCATGAGCAGTTTTTTTTTTAATAACAAGTTTTTTTAAATCTGGAGAAAACCAACGAGGAAATTTTGAAGGTTTATATGTTTTTTTTTCAGAACAAAGAGTGATATTGCTTCAGAAAGAACTTCATAGAAATTATTTACTGAGATATTAATATTATAAAAATAATTATTTAAAACTACAAAATTTGCATAACTATAGTCAAAATATGTAGTATTATAATCTAATTATTTAACATTACCATTAAAACTAGAATCACAACTAATTGCCACATGATGACAGTTATTCGGAAGCGGAGGTTATTCGGAAGTGTCCACTGCCTCATACACTGACAGTTTCTGATAGTCTTCAATACTGTGGAAAATGAGATCCAAAAATACTATATAATGATTCGGTATAATATTTGATTGCCTCAGGTTCAGGTAAGAGAAGCATTTACATATTAGCTTTGCTGGATAGTTTTGTGGGCAGTCAACGAGCAAGCCCTCTCCATTTGAGTAAGCCCAAGAAGCTAGTGGTAAATTGTAGTTGCCAAATAAATATACAGGAACATCTGGCCTTTTTTTTAGTTTCAACTACCTAGCAATGACTAAATATCTTCTGATGAGTTTACATGTTTCTTAAATGGCTATAACTCTATGTTTTTTGGCCAATATATTTAGTTAGGTGGTAGTGATGAATCTAGTGTTACATAGAAATATGAATCAGTCAATGATCTTTCTATTTTATTCCTAATTCCTAATTTATTCCTATGTTGCTCTTTAGATATAGCTTTTTACCTAATCACTTAGGGTTAAAAATATCAAAATTTGTTACAGGTATGTTCTAACTCAAGCTGTTGTTAAGTCTCCAGTTGGTGGGGATTATTTGAGTGCTCAGTCTAGATCACACTTAACTGACAGAGGCATAGAAATTGTACCTCCAAGTTTTGTTGCTGGAAAAGAAGTTGTCAAACCTGAAGAAGCACCTATATGGAAAAAACGCATGGTCCCTCTACATTTAACAGAATCTTGGTATAATTATATGATCAAGGTAAATAGTCTAAATATTGTTATAATTATGTGATCAAGAATCTTTCTTTATTTTATATTTTTTTATTCATCTATATTTAAGGTTTTATTCAGGATTTCAAAACTTTTTAAGTCTATTAACAGCTGTAAAAAGTTCAAATTGGAACTATTTTATTTGAGGATTCTACTTCCAATGCAGAAGCTTTAAATAGCAAATAAAGTAGTTTAAAATTTTGGTTAACACATTTTGGAGTACACCTGTTCTTTTTTGTAGTACAAAATGCATAACAACCCTTTGTCTCATTTCTTTCTGGAATTGCAGGAGTTACATCTTTGATGCCACAAATTTTGTGAATTTGGCATTTTAGGCTAACTGGCAGATTTGTAGTAGTAACTCGAATTTTTAAATAGGGATGTATAAACTCATTTGCAAGATTTCTTAAAAAATTATGTCATTTCACTTTTTTTTTTCATTGTTATTGTTTAGGCATTGAAGAAAACCATTGAATTAATGCCAGATATATTCAATATAAAGAGAAAGGGGATAAAGCAGATATAAAAAACTACCGTCCTATAACACTCCTCAATGGAATGTATAAACTCGTAACAAAAATTTTACCCAATAGATTGACGACAAAATTCGATGGATACCAGTTGAAAGAACAAGCTGGTTTTAGAAAGGGATTCAGCATAAGTGACCATTTACTAAGCATGAAAATACTTATAGAACGAGCAAATGAATACCACATTCCTCTATATATGGCGTTCATAGATTTCGAAAAGTCTTTCGACTGAGTCAAACATTGGACAGTGAAAAGTTCTTTGATTAACAGCAGAATTGACCACAGATATACGGAATTAATAGACAATATATATATATATATATATATATATATATATATATATATATATATATATATATAAGGAAGCCAAAACAACAATTAAAGTATATGAAGGAACAAAGTCAATACAAATAAATAGAGGCGTGAGACAGGGTGATACAATATCACCGAAACTTTTCAATCAGGCTCTTGAAGATACTTTTAAAAGATTAGAATGGGAAGAAAAAGGTATAAACATTTGTGAACAATGCTTGAACCATCTAAGGTACGCTGATGACATCGTATTGATAACTGATAAAAAGAAGAATTATTTGAAATGATGAAAGAACTGGACGTAGAAGCTGGAATGATAGGCCTTAATATGAATTACAGCCAGACAAAAACCATAACAAATACAGATGAAGACATCACAATGAGAATCGGACAAGATGAAATAGAACAAGTTTAGGATTATATATATATCTTGGTCAAACTATAAAACTTAACAAAGAGAACCAAACAGCAGAGATAAAGAGATGAGTTAAACTGGCATGGGCGGCATTTGTCAAACTAGCTACATTCTTAAAAACAAAAGATATCCACAGCATCTTAAGACCAAAGTATACAATCAATGCGTACTCCCTGTTCTTACTTATGGTTCCCAAACCTGGACATTTACAAAAGCAAACATGGACAAAATCATAAAAACCCAAAGAGCAATGGAAAGACAAATGTTGCACATAAGACTAACGGATAAAAAGAGAAACGAGTGGATAAGAGAGAAAACAAAAGTGAGGGATATTAGACAAGAAGTTGCAAAATTGAAATGGAGATTTACCAGACACAATATAAGACAAAAAGAAGACCGATGGAACAAAATTCTTATAAGTTGGAGACCGTGGGAATATAAACGAAGTAGAGGAAGGCCCAAAATGAGATGGGCAGATGATATCAAGAAGCACGTGGGCTCTAGGTGGATGACTGTATCGACAGACAGAGAAGAATGGAAAAGGATTGGGGAGGCCTATGTCCAAAGATGGACCGAAGAATGCTAATTAGATAGATATTCGATAAGTATAGTATAGAATATAACTATTGGCCAATACTTTGTGCTTCTTAAAAAGTTGTAGTTAGCACTAAGCTGGTCTACCATGTCAACTCCTATTTTTGTTGAATGGTATAGTGAGATAATTTCTAGTTTATTTTGATTACCCCTACTCTAATCAATTGCATCATCATGATACAAGCAATACATTTTTATTTTTTTTTTAGGAATATGAGAAACTAGTGTAATGTGTTGATTAAAACCAAACATACTTGACTTTACACAATGCTTTGGTTTTCTGAATTCAAATGACAATTCTCTTTTATTCTTCCTAATGGTTCCCACTACTGTAATTTTCTTCTCATATAACTTGTTCACTAACTCCATACTTATAAACCAGTTATCAATTGTTAGATTCTGGCCCGAATCATAACTAGGTTCACATAGCCGTTAAACTACATCAGTAGGTCTGTTATAATCTGACAAGCGAGTGCTGGCGGGTGAGCTGCGCGAAAATAAAAAAGGAATTATTCTAAGAGAGATAGGAGAGGTACTTAATCGCGATTATAGGTATATAGTATAGGTACTAAAACAGTTATACACGATGTGAACTCCTAGCCGACTGCAATAGAAATGAGCAATCCCTTCCACTTGTCAATTTGTTCTACACGCAACCCGCCAGCTCTCGCTTGTCGGGTTATACTAACTTTAAAACATCCTTCAGGTTGTTGGCTAACATATACCTCTAATTTATCGGTATAAAACATTTTAGCACCAGAGATTGAAAACATTTTTATGCCTTACTTGTTCGGTTTTGATGGGATATACTGACAAAATCGACACTTTCCGTGTAAAGATGTTTCAAAACCTCGTGGACCTAGTAAATATGCATGCCCAAAAAAAATAAATAGACCCAAAAATCATTCACCATTTTAATTTCATAGGAAATTAGGCGACATGGTAGAATTTGCACGTGCTAACGAGTATTTTCAATAAACATGACATTATGTTTTTCTAATCTGAAACATACCAATTAGTCATCGCATTTTTATCTTATCTCACATTGAAAGATGTAATAAAAATTTACGACTTCCTGTTTTCACTGCCGATAAGAATTGCTGTGTAAAAATGTTAAATATTTATATTGCACTAATTTGGCTTATAAATAAACTTTTTAAGAACTGAAAAAAATCTAGAGGACAAATAAATAAATAACAAATCAATGTATGAAAGAAAAATAATAGGATTTTGGTTTTAAATTCAGCAAAATATGTTTATTCGAGACGAAAACCTCGAATTCCTTGGGAAAAATATTCCCATGAGATTTTTTGCATAATCACTTTCATAAAATACCGCAGAATAATGTTCAAGAGGTCGCTCATACAAAAAGTGGTCCTAATTTATTAAACAGTTTTGTATAAATCCATTTTTAGGTTGTAATAACGGCCTCAAACAACTAAAAACAATGTTTTTAAATTAAATAAGCCCAAACTAAAGTAACAGAAACTGATAGAACAAGGTTTGGTGGATTCAAGAATAATTGTGTGTTTTTCAGGCTTGAATAATCATTTTTCATTTTTTTTTCAGTTTTAAATTGTTTATAAGTTAAAAACGATTGTTCACAAAAAAAAACAATTTTAAATATTAAAGCTATTTCACTAACGCAAAAACGAGTTCGTCTCTATCTCGATACGATAACGCACCTAAGAGAACTGCATGCGTTTAGCAATGCCTGATATCATTGTTTCGTTCGTAGATCGACATCACTAAATGATTACGTCAGGTCTACGACATTATGAATTATCCCTAACATCTCATCGATGGTGACATATTCGGAGAGACTGTATCCACTTCTACACTAAGTTACACAGGTGTTTTTTCTTCCTTTAGTCGGTTTTCACAAGTTGCTTTGTGAATATCAAATCACGTACATTGAAGGAGCAATTTAAATCATGGGAGTGACGTGGTCAGGTGGAAAATTTCTATACTTGATCCATCAGTTTTCCAAAACTCATCTGGATTCACTTCTAATATATCAGTGTCCCTAGCATCTCGATCATGAATAAAAGTTATTTCTTATGGAGTCTATATATTTGTTCATACTTTTTGCAATTATTTCTAACATAGCGTTATTCAAAAAATACTTCCAAATATCACTGGGAGTCTTCAAGTCACGTGTATGTTATCTCGACATCGGCAATCGTACTATGTAATTTTCTTGTCTTGTTCTAATATTTCTCGGTGGAACAGCCTTTCTGTATCTGGTAACATCATCTTTTCCAATAAACGCTATCAGGTATTTAATAAATTAACATGATCCTTTTTTGCTCTTCCTAGTGTCTATTAAATTGTATTATAATTTTAATAACAAATTATAGGAGGTAATGCAAGATTTCCAAGCAACTGTTTTACAAGTATCTGACGTGTCATATGATGAAGAAATTGTAAAAACTATGCCTGCTAATCATTATGAATTTCCTAATGGTTACCATAGAGATTTTGGAGTAGAGCGGTTCAAGATTCCAGAGCCATTGTTCAATCCGACAACAGGTGCCAAGGCTGGCATTCAACCAATCCTGGGGGTTGGTTCTCTAGTTACCACTAGTGTGGGAATGTGTGACATTGATATTAGACCGGTAAGTGTATAACATTTTGTTTGTCTTGCAAATAATTTGCTTATTATACATTGTCTATATTTTTAGTATGTGTTGAGTAATAGCTTTGTTACTAAGTAAAGTGTTCTTCATTTTATTTACAAAGAATCGATTAACCTTGGTGGAACTAATGTTCTACAGTTGCTGTAATAGAATACAAAACTGCTCTTCATAAGTACCGACGAACAAGAAATGAAGAACACCTCACTAATTTTAAAAAAATTAGAGCCTAGGCGAAGTATATTTTGAAACAAAGCAAGAAAGATTCATGGGGAACTACATTTTTCTCTAACTTGTAACATTCTCTCTACTAACAATGCTAAAATGCAGTGGAAAAATACCCACCGAAGAATTCCAGCTATCTTACCTCAAAGCGGTTGAGTAATTAATAACCAAGAACTCGTTAATATTCATTCTCAAACTGTCTAGTAAATGTTTAAAAATAAACTCTTCTATACAATTTCCTTCTGAATGCAATAAATGTGACTCTACTGCCTTAAACTAAAAGGAGTGTTTTCACTTCATGAGTTCTTAAATGTTCTTCCAACTTGCAATAATTCAGCTGCAGAACTTGCAAAACTGCTTAAATTGTACAACATATTTTTCTTTCTTCATTTATGAGGGGGTTGATCCAAATGTTCGAAACATACCTCGGTCCTAGAAGGTGGGCAGAACCGTCTTTCAGCCTCGGTTATGCAGGATACCTCCAGCCTGGCCACGATGATATTCGAGGCCGCGCGCTAGGGTTGTTCGTATACCATCGCCGTCAATGCCAGAGACCTACCTGCTAAAAAACACCCTCCTCAGCGGTGAATTACCGGCCGGATCGCCCTGATTGGGACGCAACATCGGCACGGCAATCACCCGATCTTTCATTCACGCACAATTCTCACGCATTCTAGCACTTTCTCATTACGACGGAATTCTTGTCTCACTCTATTTCCCCTATTCATGTTAAATCTCACCCCTTCTCCACCGATTCGACGATGTCTTTTTTTGTGGTTAGGCCATCCATGTCCGTCAGTATCAAACCTTTCTTCACTCTTCCACCTTTTGCCACTACTCTTGTTGCAGATCCTTGTCATGATGCTACTAAATTTCTGACTTGTTCCGCCATTTTCCTGCCTTCATCTAATTCAAGGACCACACCTTCTTGTCTGGTTTACCTTGTTTATGACGACATCCTCTTTCTCCTAGATTACCATCCCTTTCTTTTCTGTGGCTACTATTTGCCTTTCATTAAACCTTTTGCCGTATATCGTTGCCGTTACCTTCTTTCCTCTTGCTGCCCACTCTAGCACTTTTCTTGATTTTCCACTCGTAGTGCTGCTGGTGCTGCTATGCCTATCTTTTCTGTATCCATTCTTTCCATACGGTCGAATAGCTTCCTGGCTGCTGTCAAGAATTTAACAGCCTCTCCTTTGTTTCAGCTTGTGGACAAATTTTTTTGATGTTCTCTCTCTCCCATTTTCCTTTAAGGTAAAATTACCGCACCAGTTAAGGAAAGTTAAATATTTCGTTGGATTATTTTTATATTTTTATGGTTACAAAAATCTCGTAGAATTTATGTGAAGATGACTATATTACGTTTCCGAATAATTAAATTATTTTTCCAAATTTCAATTTTTATTGCTAAGAAAAAATACTAAATCAAAATAGAGCAAATTTTCCTAATACCGACCTAATAGTAATATTTTTTCCTATTACCGATTGTGAGATAACAGATTTTATCAACATTGTCTATATTTAGTAAAACACCCTGACTAGAAAAAATTGTTTATTATATTAAGCAAAACAAATAAAATATATGAAATTAAACTAAAAAAAAATGTCTATTACCTCATTCTCAAATTTTGATTTTAAAAAATACAATTATACAAAATACTATTATAAAGTTTAAGACAGTTTAAGATTTGCTAAACTTTTTGGTCAATTCCTTCATTTCCGGTACTGAATAAATACCTCTTTTATTGATTAATTTAGGGGGTTCAATTTTGGAAATTATCTTCTTTACTGCATAAGTTAATATATCGTCCTTCTCTGGCCATTTCCAGTTTTGTCCAGTTGCCTCCATAGATTTCACTATAACTTCATTTTGTACTCCATTACTATTTGTATCACAAACAATTCCTGGGAAAAGTCGCCCTTCATAAATTGTAACAACAAAATCGTCTTTTATGTATATGTTTTTTAATTTTTTTATTAGTTTGGGGGTTGGTAAACTATTTAGTTTCGGATTCTTTTTCTCGGGCTCAGTCGCATGCTTTTGTCCAGACTTCTCCGTTGATGTTGCCACGGTTGCGTTTCGGTTTGCTTCTAGTTTTTTTTATTAATGCAAAGCTCTTTTAATTTCGTCTCCTTTTTGGATTTTCGTTTCCTTTTCTCATTTTCTTTGTTTCACGGTCGACTTCAAGTCTTCTCTGATACTCTATAAATTCGTCAGACGTAGCAACGGTAGGGGTAATTCTTTTGGTAACTTTTTTGTTTGTCGATTGTTCCAATCTTTTAGGAAAATAAAACGACTTGTTAAATGGAGTTGGTATATTTTTCAAAAGTGTTGAAAAGTTGGATAGGACACTATTTGAAATCTTATTCATTGCATCTGTGGAGTTTGCATTAATGCCGTTGTCTTTATAATTTTGTTGTTCTGGTTGTTGTTGGTTTTCCGTGTGCTGTAGAGGAGATACGTGTGTATTTGAAGGTAATTGTTGAGTATCTTCTTTGCTTAGTTGTTCAAAAATGTCATTTTGTGACATTTTTGAACAAAGTTAGTCTCAGAGCGTGTAATAAGCTTTTGAGGCGTTTTTGCTATACTATCGTAATCTTTGCATTCATTCACATCAAAATTATCACCATGTTCTAAATTATTAGTGTTAACAACAGGGTGAATTTTCAGAACAATCTTATTCGTTTTGTCTGAGACTAGTTCCTGTGAATCATCACTAGTGGAGGAATTGACCCTACACATAGCAAGATTCCCATTTTCCTGGACTTCGAAGTCAAGAATATCCCAGTTATCTTCATTAAAGTCCGCAATACTGGAAATATTATTGATGAATGTTGTGTCATTTAGAGTAATTTGTAAGTCTTCATTTCTGTTATCCAGTTCTGCATCTAAATTTTTATCATCTAGAGATTTCCAATACACAAATAATTTTTCGAAGGTAGTGTGACAAAGTGTTTCAGGGCCCAAACGATTTTCGAATTGCTGTTTGAATTGTTTATATTCTTGAGTTTCTTGATTATCTTGATCTTTGTTAGAAATTTCGAAAGTCCCTGTTGAATGTTCTGCTATTTTGGTTTTGGTCTTGAAGAGTTTGTTGTATTGAACCTTTGATGAATTAAATGGAAAGAGTCCACAACATTTAAATCCATTTTTTATTGCATCGTCTTTTAAACATTTGTCGAAACAAATCTTGACTAAACCTGAAAAGTCTGTTCGTTTAATTTTGGCCATTTCGTGATTAACCTGAAATCATGTACCACGTTTCGCCATGTTGCTTTCACTGGTCTAAATACAGCTACGTCTAGAGGCTGCAGAACGTGGGTCGAATTTGGCAATAATGCCACCAATATTATATCCTTCTCCTTGCAAAATTCACTTAGCGCTAGAGATATGTGGGAGGTGTGTCCATCGAGGAATAATACAATCGGAAGCTGCACTCTATGTTTTTCGAGCCATGGATAAAAACAATTCGCAATATATTCATAAAAAGCTTCCATATTCATCCAGCCGCTTTCTGTATACTCTAAACCCCAACCTTGTGGCACAGTTTTTGGAATATGCTTCGGAAGTCTTTTATATGGGAATAATATCATTGGTGGAGCAAGTGAACCATTTGCCGATACATTAGCCAATACTGTCAAACACTCTTTTTTCATCATTAGCTATTCTATTATACACCAGCTTTGTTCCTCTTCTTGCTAAGACTTGCTTCTCCTTGGGACATAAAGAAAGCTGTCTCATCGCAGTTAAATATTCGGGATCCATCCTCAAAAATATTCATAAGATTGTTGCTCGTGAAATAATCCCAACCTTTCTGAACCACTCTCTAATACTTTGCTCACTGACATTACTCCTACTTGCGGTAAGATTTTGGGACACTCTTGTACTAACTTCAGGATGTCTTTCCATGAATTTTTGAAACCAGTGATTTCCCGGAATACCATCTTTAAATGGATTTTGTCGGTCCAAGTTTTTAATTAAATTAGCTACTGTCTGTATTAATTGGGATTTTGTGACAGGGAACCCTTGTTGCGCCAAATAAAGAATCCAATCTAAATTTTATTTTATTTAATTAATACACGGGATAATTCCATGAACAGTTTAAATTACAGTATACAATATGACAGGATTCAAAATTTGAAATTACTTATAATATAAAATCAATATCAAAATATATAAAAAATGAGAGTAAAAATCTTACATACTAAAAAAAAAAGAAACAAAATATAACAAGATAAAAATTCAATAATACCAATATACATATCACAAAGCAAGAGAACTTTTTAACTGAGTTAAAGTTATATTGAAAATTTCAAAATCGAGAACATTAAAGAGCCCCATGTATCTATCCAATGGGTTGTGAATACCGTAGATTGTTCTGTAGAAAGGGATATTGAAAACATTGTGGTAACGTAGAGCTTGATGGGGAACTTAACAATTAATCTTTAGGTTTGGACTATCTATAAATCCATGTATGATCTTATATGTAAATATAGCTTCTGATATATCATGACGGTTCTTGAGTGAGCGTAAAGTTAATTGTTGTTCGATAGGAGGATAATCATGATTTTCAATAGTAGTGTGAACATGATAAGCACAATATATCAAAAATTTATTCTGGACTCTTTCTATGGTATCAATCTGAAAATAGGGTGAACAAATAACTGAACATTATTCCAGAATAGTTCTACCTAAGCAACAATACACAAATCTTGTTGAAATTGAGAAATTTAGATGCCTTTATTGAAATGGTGCT